AAGCTATGGGGGGGGGGGGGCTACAGGAGGGCAGTGCACAGATTCGTGCACAGGGCTCCTAGTAAAAATAATAATGCTAGCACAACCTCCTTAGGCGTTGGTGCAGGGTACGTTACAGGGAAAACCCCTATGGGCCAGGGTCTGGCACCCAGGTAAGCACTCAGGCGAGCCATCCATGTACTAAACATTTATTGAAATCTCATGCCAGGAACTGTCTTTGGGCCTGGGATACAACAGCGAACCAAACAGCTACCAAACAACCACCCCCCAGACTCCCAGGTTAATGAATTCCGGTCTCATTCATTCCGACAAGTTGCTTATTGTGCGTCGGCGTCTATCTAGCCCAGGAAGCCCCCGGGGACGCGTGAAGGGGCCCTGGCCGGGCTTCGGCTTCGTCAGGAGCAGAAGGAACAGGCGCCACGTCACCACGCGTGGACGGGGCGCGGGTGAGGCTGGCGAGCTGGTGCTGGCTAGTTGTTCTTCATCGTCTCGTGAATCCAGTCCACGTACTTGCAGACCTTTGTGTAGACGCCAGGCTTTCTGCTGACGGCACAGGGGTCCTGCCCCCAAGAGATGATGCCTTGCAGGGACCCATTGCAGACCAGCGGGCCTCCGGAGTCACCCTGGGGACCGGGAGAGAGAAGACCCATCAGCGGGAATGAGAGGCCTTGGGGGAGGGGAAGGTGCTGGGTGTGGGGTTAGGGTCGTGGTTCTCAACCTTCTGGCCCTTTCAATACAGTTCCTCATGCTGTGACCCAACCGTAAAATTATTATCGTTGCTACTGCATAACTGTCATGTTGCTTCTGTTATGAATCGTCATGTAAATATCTGATATGCAGGATGGTCTTAGGCGACCCCTGTGAAAGGGTCGTTCCACCGCCAAAGGGGTCGCGACCCACAGGTTGAGAACCGCTTGGTTAGGGAGAGATGGGGATGGGGTGGGGTTAGGGTGGTGGAGTCGGAAGAAGGGGGTGGGGATGAGACTGGAGTTATGGGTAAGAACCAAGATGGAGGTTAGGGTTGAAAATGGAGTTGGGGCCCGACCCAACCGCATGGCTCAGTCGTTGAGCGTCCATCTATGAACCAGGAGGTCACGATTCAATTTCCAGTCAAGGGCACATGCCCAGTTTTGTGCGTTCCATCCCCAGTGTGGGGCATGCAGGAGGCAGCCCATCCATGGTTCTCTCTCATCATTGATACTTCTCTCCCTCTCTCTTCTTCTCTGAAATCAATAAAAAAAATTTTTTTTAAATAAAATGAGCCCTGCATGTTTTACAAGGGAAATTGAGATGGCGTGTCCAGTGTTCAAAGTTTTCCTTCCTACCTTCCTTCCTTCCTTCCATCCTACCTTCCGTCCTTCCTTCCTTCCTTCCTCCCCCCCTCCCTCCCTCCCTCCCTTCCTCCCTCCCTTCCTTCCTCCCTTCCTCTCTCCCTCCCTCCCTCCCTCCCTCCCTCCCTTCCTTCTTCCCTCCCTCCTTTCCTCTCTGAAATCAATAAAAACATATTTAAAGAAAAAGAAAATGGATTTGGGCATGGTTGGGGTGGGCATAGGGAACCGGAGATGGAGATGGGTTTGGGGCAGCCGAGGGCATGGGCAGGGGGTGGAGGTAGAGCTGGGATGAGACTGGGAGAGGGGCAGGTGCCCAGCGCCGTGTGAGGGAAGAGGTGGGGGTGGTGGGTGTCGGTGAAGACACAATGGAGGTTGGAGACCCAGGCCCTGCCCTCTAACCTGGCAGGAGTCCTTGCCTTCCTCCCGCACACTGGCGCACACCATGGTGGTTGTGATGTTGCCCGGGTAGGCGTTCTCACACTCCTTGTGATCAATGATGGTGATGTTGGCACATCGCAAGGTCTGGGGCAGGCGCACTGTGGAAGCGGAAGGAAGGGGTGTGGACAATGAGAGCCTCCTGGCTCCGTGCCCCGCACTGCAGGGCTCTCTCTGAACCCAGTACCTGCGCTGGCTGACAGCCAGCCCGTCTCTCCGCTGGTAACAACTATCGAGTAACTCCTTTGTTGCTCGAGACCAGAGGTTGGCAAACTCATGAGTCCACAGAGCCAGATATCAACAGTACGATTGAAATTTCTTTTGAGAGCCAAATTTTTTAAACTGAAACTATATAGGTAGGTACCTTGTTATTAACTTAATTAGGGTACCCCTAAGGCTTAGGAAGAGCCACACTCAAGGGGCCAAAGAGCCACATGTGGCTCGTGAGCCGCAATTTGCCAACCACGGCTCTGTCCGTCCCCAGGGAGTCTGGTTCTCATTTCATAGAGAAAAACCAAGGTGGACAGAGGTGACCCCGCTTGCCTACGGTCCTAGGACAGCAAGTGTGGGTCTGGGACTGCACCTCCATCAGAGTCGAAGGCCCAGACACCTGTCTCTTCCACCCACCCCCGGCCCTGACTTCCCACGCCTCCTTTCACCTGATCCCACCCCTGACACCAAAAGGCAGCCCCCTCGTTGGTCACTAAGACTCATTGGGGAAGGTTCTTCTGGTCTCCCGCTGTTCCTTCATAGGTCGCGACCACCCTACCCCCACCGTGCCCCCGCCCCCCGTGGAGCTCCTACACTGGGGGCTGGACGTGGTGCCCCAGCCGGAGATGAGGCAGCGGGTGCCCGGGGTGACGCAGCGTGACGACAGGGTAAGGGGGCGCACGGCCCAGGTGATGATGGCGGGCGACGCCAACTTCACCAGCATGATGTCATTGCGGTGGTCCTTGTTGGGGACGCTGTTGTTGAAGTCCGGGTGGGGGAAGGACTCGGTGGCCCTTCGGGTCTGCTCCCAGCCATCATGTCGCTGAAGGTGGTGCATCCCCAGGTGGACTATGTATTGGCTGAGATGGGAGAGATGGTGGTCAGAGGTGGAAGGAGGAGAGATGGGAGGTGGGGCCAAAGGCATGGGGTTGGAGGGGAGACATGAGGGCCTCTTGAAGGAATGAAGGACCACATGTCCACTTCCAACCTCACCCCTGGGTCCCATCAAAACCCCCTTCCAAACTACATCCCAACCCAGCACCCAGCACCCAGCACCCAGCACCCAGCTCCACACCCAACCCCATCCCAGTTCCGAC